GGTAAAACAATGGATGTGCCCTTAGGTGTAAAGTGGCTAGGGTGCGATGGACCATACTTGGGTAAGTCAACTACATCCAAAACTCATGCCGCTGGAAACAGACATCCATGCGAGGGTAGGATGAGGATTATACTGTCTTCACCTCAAGTTCAAGAGACTGGGGTAATCTAGAACCACTCCAACTCCTGAGCATGACACGTGTTAGCTTTGATCTATCATTCCAGGGACCTGACATCTGGTTTCAAAAGGATGTTTATATCATATAAATCAACTCCTCCAACACTGAAATCATCCAAAAAGCAATAACATCCTCAGAATAAGATAAATGAGGGAATGTAAAAAGGACAGAACCGGAACAATCCCCTTACTTCCTCTGTGACCCACAACATAGAAGGAGAATGGATCGAGGGAGTAATATAGACAATCATAAACATGTGTGAGGACTTATGTTGATTGGTTCTACTCTAAATCAAAAACCCATCCATGGGGTACCAACATCCACACAGGGGTAGGATGAGGGCTCCCAATCGAGGGGTGAACTGCAATTTGAAATTTCACTCCTTTGTGGGTGTATACTACATACTGGAGGATAGCATATCATCTACACCCACAGAAAATCACTGCCCTACTCTGCACTGAATGGTTATAGCCATCTTTGTGTGAAACCCATTCAGGAGGATGCCTCCACAGTCGATCACCTCAGCAGCTTAGAACTGGAAAGTGGTAAGGACTCTCATACTCCACCAGAAGAATGGGGGGTGAGAATGCGGTGGAGAGTCCGAAGAGATGTCATCACCTGTGACAGTGCAATAAGGTGACTATGAAACCCTATTTTGAAAAGAAGAACATATGGAATTATTCAATACAAGGCATGGCAGAAATGGGTAGCTATCCCTTTCTGCTTTACTATGCTCTCCATGGGTGGTACGGTCTAGAATGGGCAAGTTTATGAAGCAATTACATCGTGAGGTTATTCATGTACAAATGATCTTGTGGAACACTCCATCTCAATGGTGAGCATTGAGAAGCTATGGAAGATAAAGCGTGAGTCAACATGGCTACACAGTGTGGATTTCAAGTTGAAGAATACCTGGTTAGGCACCACTTACCACAGAGTGGGATCCACATAATGAGTAAATGAAGCAAGAGTCCCTGAAAGGAAAAATACGAATATAAACTTACCCAGTCAAAGTCACACTGAAGCCTAAAAAATGGCCACAGGTGGAAGACAAAAACCCGACAAAGAAGAAACTGTGATATGGTGTAAGTAATGGGAGACATGCCTGACTATAGGATTTCTTCCAATGGCAGATGAAGATGAGACGCAAGGGAAAAGGTGAGGCTATGGAACATTTGATGAGAAGACACCTGGAACAAATTCTGGGAGAAAGAAGACAAGCAGAAATAAGCCAATTGATTCAAAAGCAAACCCAACTGATGAGGGTAGAAGAGGAATGATCCCAAACAGAGGAAGACTGCCAAGGAATAAAGAGTTGGAAACGGGTACCATGGAAGGAAGCTATGCGAGCAATATAACAATGAAGAATATGGACTGGACATAGACAAAAAGCAGGAGTTATCCATCCTAGCTGCTGAGGTCTTTGGGAGGAAAGAATGATCCAGATAAAGGAGAAGATAGGTGGGATGGTAAAGCATACATGAAATGTCAATGGCAAACAAATTAGACCTTAAACGTCAACAGGCTAAGAGGAGAAGGAAATACATTTTAAGAGAAAGGTGAAACATGGAACACGAGGAAAATGGTTCAAAGGGAGGTAAAGTGAGGGAATGAAGGACCACATTAATATCCCAGTTGGGAAGAGTAGGCTGTCGTGGGGGGGGGGGGGGGGAGGAACGTCGAGAAGAAGTAGCTAACTAATAGTAGGTAAGGAAGAGAAGGAAGAACGAAAACTAAACGAGAAGTAAGGT